CTTTCCAACCTCCCGGCTTACCGCACCGCAGTCAACCCTCTCCTCCGTGGTGTCGAAGTGGGCTTGGCACATGGTTTCCTCTTAGTGGGCCCATTCGTCAAAGCTGGCCCATTAAGGAACACTGCTTACGCTGGTTCAGCCGGCTCCTTAGCCGCCGCTGGGCTTGTAGTCATCCTCAGCATGTGCCTCACTATCTACGGAATCTCTTCGTTCAAGGAAGGAGAGCCGTCGATTGCTCCGAGTTTGACGTTGACTGGGCGGAAGAAGCAGCCTGACCAGCTTCAGACAGCTGAGGGATGGGCTAAGTTCACTGGAGGGTTCTTCTTCGGAGGGATCTCTGGTGTGACTTGGGCTTACTTTCTACTCTACGTTCTTGACCTTCCTTATTACGTCAAATGAATGTAGTTCAAAATATGGTCTTTCACTACCATTCTACCTATAAATACTCTCATGCGCCATTGTTTTTTTTTTCTTTTCTCTGATCAAGAATCTTGAATCTCAGGATCGTTATGTATAATACTATGGATCTTCTCTTAACTATTTCTTGGTCTTTATTCACATAAATTTTTATTGACATCTGAAATTTTCATTGAACACAAAAAAAAAACATTTTGAATACAAATTGTTGGTGGCTAAAAATTAAAGGGAAAATTCCATTTTAATACACAACTTTAATTATTGTTTCCAACTTAATACACAACTTTTAAAAGTGGCCATAAAAAAACACAAACTAATTGTTTTTGTTCTTTTAATACCTCAACTAAACCCCGTGTATCCAAATTATATTGGCTCGTTAACGCCATTATTGAAACTAAACCCCGTGTATCCAGATTATATTGGCTCGTTAACGCCATTATTGAAACTGTTAACTATGTAACATAATCGTTAACTAGATTTTGATCCGCGCTTGAAAGCGCGAAAATTTTTTATGATTAAAAATTAATATAATTGGATTTTGTCTTTATTTAAATAATTTTTTGGTATAAAATCAATTCACCAAAGTTTGTGGTGATGATTGTTTTTCATTAGTTTTTAGGTTCATTTTTTAATTTTAGGTTTTGTTTTAATATTTTGGTTTTAGTTTTAAGTTTATATTTTTGATTTTCAGGTTTTGGTTTGAGTTTTTTAATTTTAGACCCGCTAAGTTAGTTTGAACTGATATTACCAACAAAAAAATCTCAAATAATCAAACATCTAATTTAAAGCTGAAAATATGACAAATTTTTTTTTTAAAAAAAAATTGCAATAGTGTATTTTTAAATAAACAAAAGCAAAAAGTATAACCTGCGTTTTCAGTTTTTGGTTTGGATTTTAGTTTTTAGAGTTAGTTTTTGGTTTTGCTTTACATATTTTTTTTCAAAATCTATAAATTATTTAAGAAAAATAAAAAAATAAATTATTTAAAATTTACCATTGAAATTTATCAAAAAAAAGTGATTGTTATTTAAAATAAAAAATACATTAACATGTTTTAAAGTACATGATTTAAAATAAATGATTAATAATAGATAATTTTGTTTTGTTAAAAATATTAAATTTTGGGCCTGAAAATAATAATTGATTTTTTGATCTACTAAGGTGGAAAGTTTATTCAATGTTTTTTGGAATTTTCTTTAATACTAAGCCCAAAAACCAAACCATATAATGTTTTAAAAACAAAAGAAAGCCCAAGACTATATCCCATAAATAACCACCGGTTTAATTTAAGTAATACGGTTCAATTAACTATATGATTTGTATTATTTGTAACACTCTAGAAAGGGTCCAAAGTTAAATGACAACTTGTATTAGTTGATAAAAAGAATGACTCTATTTTAATAGAGTAGATTTATGCCTTTTAGCATTAACCCATGGTTAATAAACTAACCTTAGCTTAAACAATCATGTCTGCTTATATAAACACAAAACAATACAAATACTTGAGAACACGACTAACCACAATAAGACACGACCAACAAAACAAACACATAAGAGCAACAACTAATTACGTTAAGCCATGGACGATCACAGAAACAACTCCAACAAAAGTACAAAACCTACCCACGATAGGATTACAAATTGTTGCAGCTGCTGTTAGAAGATATTGTTTCTTCTTGAACAAGACACATAAAGGTTTCACTTATGAAAGAAAAAGAATGTTTTGTAATTAACATGCTCTGTTTTTATGAAAGAAAACAGAGTATAACTGAAACTTATTTTAATTGAATGTGAAAAACAACTTGTAGTTTTTACATTACGGCAATAACGTTAAATATAAAGTCGAATAAATCGAATACAAAAGCTTTATAAATCGTTCTCTTTGTTTTATTGATGTTTAGAAAGTCTTCCTTCTCAAAACTAAACAACAAGCTCAAGTCTTCCTTAGTAGTCATCACATATCGATGACTTACTTATATATAGGGATAGAGATCCTTTACTATTCCTAAGTCTATCTGTAATAGGTACTTCCTTTTCCTAATACAATTAGTCATTATCCTAATTCTCATTAAGGATAATATCTTTCCTTTATTGCTTGAAGATTACTCAACATTCTCCCCCTTAAGCTTCAACTTATCTTTGCTTAGGTTGAGAACACCAATTCGACCTCTCATTTCCGTGAACTGAATCCTCGCCAATGCCTTGGTCAAAGTGTCTGCTAGCTGATCTTTTCCAGGAACATATTGTACGTCAATTTGATCTCTCTCAATACATTCCCGAATGAAATGATACTTCTTTTGGATATGCTTACTTCTCCGGTGAAATACTGGATTTCTTGACAAGGCAATAGCTGACTTATTGTCTACATGAATCTTTGTCTTCACATGCTTTCTTCCCGTGATTTCACTCATTAAGTCTTGGAGCCATATGGCTTGCTTTGCAGCTTCCGTTGCAGCCATAAATTCAGCTTCACAGGATGAGAGTGCCACAGTGTCTTGCTTCTGAGAGCACCACGTGATAGGTGTTTTGCCAAAACAAAACAAGTGACCAGTGGTACTCTTGCCATCATCAGGATCTGTGTTGTGACTACTGTCACTGAATCCTGTGAGTACCTGAGGCACACCTTTCTTATACTTCAAACCATAACTCATAGTACCCCGTAGGTACTTCAGAACTTGCTTTAGGGCAGTTCCATGAGATGCACGAGGAGAGTGCATGTACCTGCTCAATATGCCAACAGAGAATGCAAGGTCTGGTCTTGTGTGTAAGAGATACCTTAGACATCCTATCCTTCGCCTATAAGTTGTTGCATCAACCTCTGTTTCTTCTGTAGACTTAGATAACTTTAAGCCAAAGTCCATCGGTATACTCGTTGAATTGCAGGATTCCATCCCTGCTTCTTCGAGTATACGGTGTGCATAAGCCTCTTGCTTAATCTCAATTCCGTCTGAACTCTGACTGACTTCAATACCGAGGTAGTAGGTCAATTTACCAAGGTCTGACATTTTAAACTTCCTAGCCATAGACTTCTTGAACTCCATAATTGAGCTATGAGTATTTCCTGTAACAAAAAGGTCGTCAACATAGATGCCAACTATCAGAAGTTTCTTTCCTTCTTCTTTCTGATAGACTGAACTTTCTTTTGAGCACTTTCTAAAGCTCAAACTCTTCAAGACCTGATCAAGCTTTGTATTCCATGCCCTTGGTGCTTGACGAAGTCCATACAAAGCTTTAGATAGTTTATAAACTTTGTGTTCTTCACCCTTTTTCTCAAATCCCTCGGGCTGTGCTACGTATACATCTTCGTTTAGTTCTCCATGCAAAAACGCAGTTTTGACATCCAAATGGTGAATTTCCCATCCACTTGCAGCAGCTAAGGCTATCAAAAACCTGATCGTCTCAATGCGTGCTATAGGGGCAAACACCTCATCGAAGTCAATACCAACTTCTTGTACGTATCCTTTTGCCACTAATCTTGATTTGAACTTGTTTATTGATCCGTCTGCATTTCTTTTTACTTTAAAGACCCATTTGAGACCAATAACTTTTACTCCAGGCGGCTTGTCAACCAACACCCAAGTCTTGTTCTTGTTTATCGAATCAATTTCGTCAGAGCATGCTGCCTTCCATTGCTTGCTTTTACTTGCCTCTTGATAATTATATGGTTCATCGTTGAGTGAGAGAAGAAGAGTTTCACACTCCAGATTCGCCATAAGAACATAATCATCTAGATAGCTTGGATGAGTTGAAAGACGCGTTGATCTCCTTACTACATGATCTTGTTGTGTATTTGACTCTGTTTCTGCATCATGATCCTATGTAATAACATCATTGTCTCCAGCTTCGTCTTCTTGCTAATGAGCTCCAATAGAAAACGGACCACTACCATCATCCATCGTTTCTCACCATGCAAATTGAAACATACCAGGTTCACTTGTTTCTTCCTTATCTTCATCTTTCCAATTCCAAGAAGTTTTCTCATTAAAGACTACATCACGGCTGACTACTATCCGTCTTGTAGTGGGATTATATAATCTGTAAGCTTTTGACCCTGGCTCAATACCGAGGTGTACCAATGTCTGAGAGCGATCATCAAGTTTCCTCAAAAGTGTCGAGTCTACCTTTGCATGAGCAACACAACCAAATACTCTTATGTGACTAATGCTCGGCTTTCTTCCTTTTAGACTCTCATATGGTGTTGTGTTCTTCAATGCCCTTGTAGGAACACGGTTGATCAAATAAGTGGCATGTCGAATAGCCTCTCCCCACATGTAATTTGGAACATTCATGGCTTTTAGTAGGCTTCGTGTCATCTCCATAAGTGTACGATTACGTCTCTCAACCACGCCGTTTTGCTGTGGTGTGTATGGCGCAGTGAGATGACGTTTTATGCCATTGTTGTTGCAGAAATCCTGAAACTCTTTTGATGTAAATTCTCCACCTCTATCCGTTCGAAGTATGAGTATTTCCTTGTTGATGTCCTTCTCAACGAGGTTCTTGAATGATCTAAACTTCTCTTATGCCTCACTTTTATCTTTCAACAGTATCGACCACATGTACCTGGTACAGTCATCGATTATGACAAATATATATTTGTTATGTGAAGGTGTTGTTGGGGTGATAGGACCACATAGATCAGCGTGTAAGAGCTCCAAAGCTCTTGTTGATCTGTAGTTAGTTGCTTTCGGGAAGGACTGTCGGGTTTGCTTTCCGACTAAGCAAGACTCACATATCTTCTTCTCATCTTGTATCTTGGGTAGTCCTTGAACCATCTCTTGGCTTGACATAGTTGCCAAAGTTTTGAAACTAATATGTCCAAGTCTTGCATGCCATCTCCAAGCTTCTCCTTTTATCTTTGCGTGGAGATAGATAGGTTTACCTATCTTCAAAGAGATCTTATATAGGCGATTAGAGGTTCTCAAGACTTTTACAATCAATCTTCCATCATGATCTCTCAAAGTTAAGTAGTTTTCTTTCATTCT